TGTCTGTGACAAATGTAGCTCCGAACGATCTGTTGAACATTTGTTTCATTGTGTCCCGTGCTTTCTGTCTCGCCTTGTTCAGCTCATCCAAGAGAGATTCGCGTGCCTCGCTTCTTTGACTGTTTGGTGCGTTGCATGAAATCTACCGAGCAATTCTTGGATAATATGGAATTTTGCCTGAATTTAAGCAGAAGGAATGTTCTTATAATTAGACTAATACGGGCATATCTGCGTCAAGTAGAGTATTTATATTCCAAACTGTCTCTAACAACTTATAAAGCTCGGTCACGGTACATGATGCATAAATTCTATAAGCAGATTGCCATTTAAGATGATCCATCAAAAGTAAGAGAGGAAGTTGTGGCTTTACCTGCTCAAACCGGTAGCTATCTTCATTTTATATCTTTATCTCTCGTTGAATCAAAAACCATCACTTAGAGAACTCAATGTAAAGTTTTGGGTTTTAAATGATGTACAAATTCTTTTGAGGATACAATGAGCTAAAAGGCTATATATCACGTATAATAAACTAATCTCGAGCTCGTGAATTATGGAAGCAGTTCGCCAACCAGCCATTGAAGGTCCTATTAAGTCACTAAATAAGTGATCTCCGAAATAAATCACCTATGAACAAAATATGTAGTAGTTTTCTTTAAATGCATTNCTAAACANGAAATAACAAATTGTATATATCAGCTTGTTAAAGGGTACCTTAGGGCCATGCCACTTTGTGATTTGAAGGAAGGATTTCAGACAGCCATGGTAGTAAACTTTCTTTGGGTGAAATGCATCCACTTTTGTAATAGCCAAAGTATCCCTCTCGGAATCATAGCAGCTACAAGGATTGATAGCAGTAAATAAGTCGCCGATTAAGCGTTTTTGAATATAGTATACGCGTTTTTGAATATATACTAAAGTAAATGAAACGGAAAGGGTGCTCAGATGTGTAAAACTCTGGCTTATTTGTTTTAGCAATCACAACATGGAAAAGGTCGCACCATGAGTCTTTGAGGCCAAAAGACTCCTAATGAAAAGCAAGAATAGACAAATAGAGATCATGATCGACTTCAAGAAAGACTAAAAACAAAGTCAAAACCCAAACTCGCTCTAAGAACATTGTTGGCAAACTAATTAATGGCAAACTAATTAAACTCAGAGAATGATGGATATGTAGTTCATAGTGAGACTCGAAAGGGAAAACTTAATGATGTGAATCACCTCCATTAGATAGCTCATTCCACCATCAACAAAATGGTATGGAGAGTTAGTCAGCAAAAACAGCTTCTTCCCTTTATCTTTAAGGGATCTCAAGAAGTGTAGCAGCTGACCATGAAATATCAAATCAAAAGTAAATATATTCTTAATTAAATTAAAAAGCAAGTTTGAGGACTTGTACTTGTATTTTAAAGTAAATATCTATTAGGATCAGCAACAATTCCTCTATGGACTAAGAGGCTTCTATGGACATATTGAATAGCGCGATTCACATCATTGTAGATGGTAGAGGCATCATTGTACCATGTCTGCAATAAAACATGCCTATAAAAAGATAAAAAAGAAATTGCGATCAAATAAAACAAAGATCACAGTTCCTTTGTACAAATACACTTATAGATTAATCTGACCTCGATGAAACAGAAGAAATCCATCAATCCCACAAGACCTTTTGCTTGATCATGACCTATGTGTCGTGTTCCATACGTATTTTCTAGTTCCTCTCTACTAAGCTGCACAATAACAAATATGAAGAGGAGTCAAATCCTGCATCCGAAAGCAAAATAACACCCATCTGGTTCGATTGAACCAAAGAAACCCAAAGAAATATGAAGAGGGGGCTAAAACGACAAAAGAAGAGACTAAGCAATACCTCACGACGACCAAAATAACACCCATCTGGCTCGATTGAACCAAAGAAATCAAATTTCATGAGGAATCCTTTTTGTTTATCGTACAGTCCTTGGATTGGAAAAGTAGAATCATACTTAAATTTCATACAACTCTCAGGATATCAAAACTTCAAGATAAAGAACCAATACTTCTAAAAAAAAATACTCTCACAACCATATTAATTAGTTTGCAATACAAACCTTAACGATGATAATAGAATCTGCCAAAACAAAAAAAAATCACAAATTAGATTAAAAGACGATAGGTTAAAATGAAAACAACATCAATGAACGTTAAATTAACATATACAAAAAGGAGAATGAAATAAATGCATCAACATGTATATGACGAAGAGAACCATACAAATTAGGAGTAAGAATAAACACATGAAAAACCATAATCGAGGAG